CTGGTTGGGGGGGCTCTTCGTGACTGAGAGGCCCACGGACTCGTCAACAATCCTGCCAAGGCGTGGCGGTGCATCGCATCTCAGGGAGAGCTCTGCCAGTAGTCATCCCACTGCTGACGCGCCTCGGAATCTGCGTCATCATGGCAGCACGGTGAGTGAATTGGCCCAATCTATCCGGGGGAAGCATAGCTGTCTAGGTCGCCGTGCGGCAAGTCTTAGAATCAGATTTTGGTTTCTGCGGTTCCTATCCTGATTCTGATACACTCTCTTGATCCTATCTTTGAGTCCTGTTCCTATGTTGCAGCAGCAAGGAGCAGCATGGAACAGCACGCAGGCGTGGTGCAGCAGGCAGAGCGGCCGAATGGCGGAACGGCGGAGCTTCTGTTTCCGCCGTCGCACGAGGATTGCAGACGGGTCTTGACCAAGGCAGAGACGCGGTGGTGATCGCGACGAGAGCAACGACTGCAGCAACAGCAACCGAGCGGCCTGGAGCAGCACGCGTCAAGTGAAGGCGCGGCGAGCGGTGGACGGAGCGTGGTACGTGCCAGGGGGTGCTTGCAGGGGGGCCGTGATGTAAGTCGTAGGGCGTCGCCGCGCAGAGGCAGGAGTCGCTTCTGTTGCTTTTGCCTCCGCCACTCGCCACCTGCTGCTTCTAACCCTCCCTTGTTGCACCACGTCTGTGTGCGTGTCCATCTCCCCATGCTTGTGTGTGCCTCACTGCCTGCGAGACGGATGGGAATGGCACGGAGTGGGCGGGGAATGGACGGGACTGCTGTCGGCTCGCACGAGACATAACGTGGAGTGGGAGAGCGGCACAAGTGAAGGCGTGGCGCAGGAGCGGCAGGCTCTGCCAAGGAGGAGAAGTGGTACGTGCCAGGGGTTGCGTTAAGGGGGGCGGTGAAGTGAGTCGTAGGGCGTCGCCGCGCAGAGGCACGAGTCGTGTCTGTTGCCCTTGCCTCGCCTCCTGCTGCTTCTAACCCGCCCTTGTTGCATCGCTTCTGTCTGCGTGCGTCTCTTCCTTTGCGTGTGTGTCCGTCACGGCCTGTGAGATGGGAATGGCAGGGAGTGGAAGTGAGGTGACGAGCGTGCGGCTTTGTTCCGGCCCGAGACACAGCAGCAGCGTTGGTGAGTGCAGCAGCTCTAGTCATGTTTGGCAGCAGCAGTAGCAACGGCGCCTTGACTTTCCAGCAAGTATTTCCCTCTCCAATCGCTCTGCCTTGCGCTCATCACGTGTACTGCATGTGCTTCACTGCTTTCTCCTGAAATCTCGCCACAGTTTTTTTCAAACCACAACTCACAAGCCACAGACCCTTCCTACTGCAGGTGTCAACCGCACACGAGCACGAGCAGCAGCAGGGCGCTGCTTGGGGCGAAGGCGTGGCGCAGGAGAGGCATGTTCTGCCAAGGAGGAGATAACACATAGCTGGAGCGGGGTACATGGCAGGAGGTGCTTGCAGGGGGTCGGTGAAGTGGGTCGTAGGGCGTCGCCACGCAGAGGCAAGAGTCGTGTCTGTTGCTTGCAGGTCCATCACTTGCCACCTGCTGCTTCTAACCCTCCTTTACTGCGCTGCTTCTGTATGTGTGTCTCTCTCTCTCTCCCCGTGTGTGTCTCTCTCTCTCTCTCCCCGTGTGTGTGTCTCGAATGGACCTTGTATTGATTGATGGGTGATACACGGGAAGAAGCAAACACAAGCAAACACAAGCATATCAAACGAGTTTCCTAACTAACACTTATCCCCTACATCCTCCCGCCCCCTCCGTCCGACCCTAGGGGTCGAACGGGGGCTCAATCAGCTGGTAGAGCTGGCCCTCACAAAGGGGGGCAAAGGGGCCCCGCATGCCCAGCTCGTCCGCTGCAATTGCCTCGTTGGTCTTGCAGCGGAGGGCGTTGGCCTGTGCTCTTTGGAGGCACACGCTCCAGCGCTGGCGGTATTCCGTCAGCAGCTTGGCGGCCTCGTAGGAGGTAGGGGCAGCGTTGAATCTCAACTTGGCCGCCAGCTCCGCACATTGCCGCAAGAACGCCATCACCCCGGGCGAGGGGAACACGTATGTCTGTACCGCCAGGGCATGGAAGCCCACCCACGCATTCCGGCGCGCGTATTTCTGCTCCTTCCTGTCTGCAGCCGCCCTAGCCGCCCACCCGGGGGCCCTATTGCAGTGCTCATCTTGGTGAGACACGTCGCACATCCATACTTCTCCCGTCAGGGGATGACGGATTGTGACGTCCGCCTTAAGGTTTTCAACGAGAGAGTACACGTACGTTTCCTTGTGCACCGTGAAGCCCGCTTCTGCCGCTATCAGAGCAATCTCATCCCGCAGTGCATGGTGAGTTGCGATCCTTCCCCCCCCTTTCTCGCAGCGCATGAGATGGTTTGGGAGGCAGTCGTCTGGGAATTTGGTGCGGTAACGGCAGTCACAGCGCCTGGGGACAGGTAGGGGGAGGCCCAGGAGGAAGGCAGCAGCGGAGGAGAGCTGGGAGGGTCCCATCCTGAGCGAGGGAATGATGGGTAGCGCCAGCAGCCAATCTCCTGCGCCAGGGCCGAGCACCGACTGCATTCGCTGGGCATGGCCAGAGAGGGGGTTGGGGCGCATCCGCCTTGCCTCGTTCATGACCCTCAGGAAGCGGCGCGTCTGAACCGCCAGCGCTAGAGACTGCTGCAGCTTGAGGCCCTGAGGGTCTGCTTTCCTGGCCTGAAGGGCTTCTACAGCTTCGGGGGGGAGGGCTGCTTCCGCTGCTGCGAGGCGTGCAGGCAGGGCGTGCGCGGAGCCGGCGGTGGGGTCCATTAGGGGGAGCAGAGCTGCTATATCAGGGTGAAGTGCTTCGGCCAGGGAGTGCAGGAGGTGGGAGGTGCCCACCACCGACGCAAGGTAAGCGTAACTCCCTTCAACTGCGGGATTTGTAATGCCGAGTCCCCCCAGTGTTACAGGTAGCGCCGCCTGCCTCCAGATTCTCCTCTGCTCCGCGTCACTCCTTGGTAGCATAATATGGGCCGCGTCCAGGAAGGTATGTAGCAATTGCTCCCCCCATGCCGCCCATTCCTCCTCAGGTAGTACCTCTAGCGGAGTGGTCCTGGCCAGGAAGGAGGCTCGCCGGCCCACACAGCGTGTGAGTAAGAGCAGGCACAATTGGGGGTCCATCTGGGCCAGGAGCGGCAAGGGTTCTGCTGCTGCCGCTAGTCTTTCCCTCACTCTAGAGGCGCAACCAGCGGAGGTCCCGATTGGACTTCCCAATACCCGCAGTCCGTCTGCTGCGATGGGGAAGCCCAGTGGGAGAGAGGCGGGGTCTATGGCAGCTGCAGACCAAGCTTCGCATTTCCCCAAGTTGTGTACGAGGCCTATGCGGAGCAACGCGGCAGTAAGGTGCGTGAATGCCGCGGTGCATGCTTCGGCCTCGCCCAGCAGCGTTATGTCGTCGGCGTAGGCGAGAATGACGATCCGTGGGTGAGCTGAAGCTGTTGCGGTTATGCAAGGGTGGATGCTTGCCGCGAAGAGCAAGGGGCCAAGGGGGTCTCCCTGGCGGACGCCTCTAGCGCTTAGCATTGGGGCCACGCCGAATTCGTGGTCGAGGTGGAGCGCTGATGGAGTTCCGTAGGAGAGGCGGACAAGGGGCAGTAGGCTTTCTAGGGCCTCGTTCTTGAGCCCCTCGAATACCGCCGCCCTTTCCACCGCGTTGAATGCGTTGGCAAGGTCAATCTGCAGCGCCACCGAGCCCGGGTTCTCCTCCAGGTAAGTGCGCGCAGTGTGGATAGCCGCCTCGATCCCTCCAGCCACCGCTACCCCGAATTGAAGAGGCGCGAAGTGTGCTCGTGCCGCCGCGCCATTCAGGAACAGTGCTGCTTTGGCGACGAGGCGTAGAAGGCATTCGCCCACGGCTATCGGCCGGGTCCCCCCCTGCGGCTTAGTGAAGGCTAGGAGGCGTGAGGCAGTGAGGAGCTCGGTGGCCTCGCTACTAAGTTTCCCAGCTATAGCGGTATTGGTGAGTGCGAGAAGATGAGCAAAGATGTCGGGATTTCCAAGCGCGGCATCCCGAATGTGCTCGAAGGTAGTTCCTGAGGGCCCTGCTCCCACCCCATTGGGGAGCTTGGCGATGATGCGCCTGAAGTCGCGTGGCTCAATCGCAGGGGTGTGCTCGGGGGAGAAGGTGCGTATCCACTCAGGTAGGGACTGGAGTGCTTGCGGGTGTCTTGCCGCTAAGGCCGCGTACACATCGGGGGAGGCAGGTGAGACCGGGGTGGCTTGGAGGGACTGGAGTGACTTGGCGAGGTTGCCACGCTTGGCCAGTCCCTCCGCTCTGGCAAGGATGCCCTGCGTGTCAGGTACGTGACGTGGCTGGGCTGGGAGGGAGATTGCTTCCACCGCCTCGTCATACAGGCCAGACCAGAATCCCTGGCGAAAACGGAGGAGGCGGTTCATCATCGCGCTCCAGTCAGGTTTGCGAGCTGACGAGGTGCGGAGGAGAATTCGCGGTAGGAAAGTCAGTAACCTCCACCCTGCGGCCGAGTTGGGATTGGCTGCCAGGTGGAGGAGTGGGGTAAGAAGGCAGACTGCAAACGATTCGCGAAGGTATTTTGGCGGGTGACGGGCGAGGGGCGGCTGGCGACTGTCGCGCAGTGGGTCAAGGTCCCAGCCTGCGACCTGCGCGAAAAGGTCCAGGCGTTTCGCCAGGTCGCCTGGGTGGATCATGGGTGGGGTTGGGGTTGGGGTTGCAGTGTTCCCATTGGCTGCAGAAGAGTCAAATGTGATTGCTGCCGCGGTTCGATTTCCCCTCCATGCTTGATTTCCCCCCGCATTTCGATTCCTGGCAGGCGTTCGAGTTGCAGACGCGGCTCCAATTTGTTGGTCCGGAAACTCGGCCCCACGAACCAAGAACTCCTTATCTTCTTCAGTTTCAGCATCCAAACCTCCCTCCGTTTCAGGGTTAAAACCGGGGTCACCCCCGTCACTCTCGTCATTCTCCGATTCACCGCTCCCTTCCCTGCTCGCGGCTTCCTCGCCGCCTTCTACGCTCTCCCTGAGTAATCTTTCTGCCGTCCTCGCATAGCTGCTCGCGCCTGTACGTCGGCCACCTCCCCTGCCTGTTCCTTCTCCTCGTCGTCCTCTCCCGCTTCCGCGCCGTCCGCCAGGAGTGCCGCTCCCCGCGGAGAGCGCTCAGCTCGTTGCGCAGCCGAACCCAGAGCCTGCGCCTCCGCGTCCCCAATTGCAAGCCCGTCCTGCTGCGTCGGCGCCCGTGCGCCGTCTCGAGCGCGGGTTGTCTCTTCCGCTGCGCGGGGGGGATCGTCACGCGTCTCCCGAGCAATCCCGCGCTCCCTTACTCGTCGCGTCGAATGCCGAGCCGGCGCGTCAGGAGCGGGGTCGGTCCCCGCAGCGTCGAGGATCTCGACCCGCGTCCCCTGCGTATCGCGCCCCTGAGCCGCATGAGTCGCGGCGGCGGTGGGAGGATTATCAGCGGGAACTTCAGCGCCGCGACCGCCGCTACCGCTCTCCTCAGAGGTCGCCGGAAAAACGCTCCCCGCGGCAGCGGTCCCCCCATCAGCGGTCGCCGCGGCCGTCACCTCCGTGTCGGGGCCGCGGGGCTCACGCGGGCCGTTGGTAATCTCGTCGCAGGGAGCCCTCCCCGCCCCGTCCTCAGTCGGCTGGCTCTGGCGGACGTCGTGGGCGGAGGAATGGTTCTGCGCGCGGGGGTAGTCGCGGCCAAGGCTCCACGGCTGACCGCGCGGGGAATATGGTGGCGGATGCAGTGCGGGAGGATCAAGCGGGGGGGGCAGCGGCTCATATTCATGTGTCTGTGACCACAGAGCCCCCCACCGCCCCTGTTGCGAATGATGCAGCTCAGCTGCGCCCGCCGACCTTGCGGGAGTATCTGCCAACTGCAGCGGCGAGGCGGCCGTTCCGCGGTCGCCGCCAAGCCCCGGGTTACCCCGCTCTTCAGAATTCAATTGGCCAGGCTCCGGGCCAGATGGCGACGTTTCTGCCGCGCGGAGTGCCGACTGCACCTCTCCCCAGCCGCGCGGGGAGAGACCCCACGCTGAGCATGTGCCGGATGTGGAATTTGGCGGGGGCGGCAGAGGGGGTGGCGAGCCTGCAGCTGGCGGCGTGTGAGGCCATGCGTCACACACCGAGCAGTTTTGCTCAAGTGCCCCAAGGACAGTGCGTCGCTTGGGCAGGAGAGATTGTCCCCCTTTTAGCGCCCGTGTCGGATGCGCCCGCCGGGGTAGCACCCTTAGCCCGTACCTTCCCCCGCCTCGCTCTTGATCTTCACGCGGCTGCGCAGAGCGGGACCCCTGTTGACACTCTTCGCTTCTCGGCGGAGCTTCTCCATGCGATGGCGGGGTGCCTTCTCGCGATGCTTGAGGCGGAGGGGGCTGGCCTGTACACGCAGTAGAGCGGCGTCTCGTGTAGTATTGCATCTTGATTGTTTGGTGATGCTCTCCAGTTGTCTGTCTCTCCTCTGTTGGATATGCCGTGCTTGGTAATCTCCCTGTTTGTGTGTCTTGCCACCGAAACGCGCGGCCGAAGGCCGCCGGCGCGAGCCGCCGAAAACTGAGAACACACGAAATAATGAGTAGGAGAAGGCACCAAGGGCCCTTAAATAGGCTCAGAGGAAGAGGGCAGAGGGCAGAGGAAGAGGGCTGAGTGCTAAGGCCTTCTCTCTCTCGCTCTCTCTCCGCCCGAAAACTGAGAACACACGAAATAATGAGTAGGAGAAGGCACCAAGGGCCCTTAAATAGGCTCAGAGGAAGAGGGCAGAGGGCAGAGGAAGAGGGCTGAGTGCTAAGGCCTTCTCTCTCTCGCTCTCTTTCCGCCGAAAACTGAGAACACACGAAATAATAAGTGTGTGTGTGTGTGTGTGCCTCGTGGCCTGCGAGACGGAGAGCAATGGCAGCACGTGGACGCATGAAGTGAAGGTGTGGCGCAAAATTGGGAGAGCAGCGGACGGAGCGTGGTACGTGCCAGGGGGTGCTTGCAGGGGTGCCATGAAGAGAGTCGTAGGGCGTCGCCGCGCAGAGGCAAGAGTCGTTTCTGTTGCTTGCGGGTCCATCACTTGCCACCTGCTGCTTCTAACCCTCCTTTATTGCGCTGCTTCTGTGTGTGTCTCTCTCTCCCCGTGTGTGTGTCTCTCTCTCTCCCCTCGTGTGTGGCTGTCTCTCTCCCCCCGTGTGTGTGTGTGTGCCTCGTGGCCTGCGAGACGGAGAGCAATGGCAGCACGTGGACGCGTGAAGTGAAGGCGTGGCGCAAAATTGGGAGAGCAACGGACGGAGCATGGTACGTGCCAGGGGGTGCTCGGAGAGGGTGGTCGTGGAGCGTGCCTTTTGGCGTCGCCGCGCAGAGGCAAGAGTCGTGTCTCTTGTGCTTGCCTCCGCCACTCGCCGCCTGCTGCTTCTAGCCCTCCCTTGTGGCGCTGCTTCAGTGTGTGTCTCTCTCTCCCCATGCGTGTGTGTGCCTCACGGCCTGCGAGACGGAGGGGAATGACAGAGAGTGGACAGGGGATTGACGGTGCTGCTGTTTCTGGCTTGCACGAGAGACAACTTTGCAGCTAAGTATTTTTTCCTCCATACTCTTTGCCTTTTGTGTTGCCAAGCTCTCATCAACATGCTTCACTGTATTTTCCGCTGAAATGTCACCATTAGTTGTTGTTGGCCCACTCTCAAGCCACACAACGTTCCTCTTGTTGGTCTGTGGCATGTGGTTGCGCCTCCACCAGTGGCCCTTTCCTTCTCTTGCTTTGCAATCTATTATATTTCCTCATTGGACACTCACTGCTGCCGTGTGGGTGTTGTATGTGCGAGCATGTGTGTGTGTGTGTGTGGCGGTGGGGGAAGGGGGGGGGGATGGGAGGCGGGGTTGTGAAGGGGGATGGGGGATGCATGGTGGTGTGTGTGCCTCTCAGCCTCCAAGCTCTGGGATGTCTCGCGGATTACCCTTCGGAAAGCTGCTCATCGGGAGGACAATTGAGCTCCTTTTAGTTTCTTGCCTTTACAATTCAAGAGGTAACCGGGGGTGAAGATGCAGCAGCAGGCTGAATGCATCCTGCGTTGATTTCTCTCTCATTCTTGTCTCCAGCTGCCATTTGCAATCTCTTCTGGCTTGTCGATGCTCTTTCACATCCTCACCTTCTCATCCACTCGCTTCTCCTCTCCTTGCTCATGCCTCTCCTCTCAGCTCCCAAATCCCTCCTCTCCTGTCCTCTCCTCTTCTCTGCAGCATCGCTTGGTGGTCGCGACAACTGCAGCAGCAGCAGCAGCAGCGGATGACAAGAAACCGGGAGCACGGGCAGCAGCAGGGCGCTGCTTGGGGCGAAGGCTTGGCGCAGCAGCAACGGAGCAGCATGGAGCAGCACGCAGGCGTGGTGCAGCAGGCAGAGCGGCCGAGTGGCAAAGAGGCAGACGGAGCGTGGTACGTGCCAGGGGGTGCTTGCAGGGGGGCCGTGAAGTGAGTCGTAGGCCGTCGCCGCGCAGAGGCAAGAGTCGTGTCTCTTGCTGTTGCCTCCACCACTTGTTGCATCTTGCTGTTTCTAACCCTCACTTGTTGCATCGCTTCTGTGTGGCTGTCTCTCTCCCCATGCGTGTGTGTGCCTGTAAGACGGACGGAAATGGCAGCGAGTAGATGGGGAATGGACGGGAATGGACGGGGCTGCGGCTGCTTGATCACACGAGAGACAACCAGGAGCAGCACGCCTCACTTGAAGGCACGGCGAGCAACAAACGGAGCGTGGTACGTGCCAGGGAGTGCTTGCAGGGGGGGGTGAAGAGAGTCCTAGGGCGTCGCCGCGCAGAGGCAAGAGTGGTGTCGCTTGCCCTTTCCTCCGCCACTCTCCACGTGCTGCTTCTAACCCTCCCTTATTGCGCTGCTTCTGTGTGCGTGTCTTTCCCCCCATGCGTGTGTGTGCCTCACGGCCTGCGAGACGGAGGGGAATGGCACGGAGTGGACGGGGAATGGAGGGGTTTTCCGTTGCTGGCTCGCACGTGTGTGGGTGCATGTGCATGAATGTGAGTGTGCCTCTCCGCCTCCAAGCCCTAGATTGTGTGGCAGATTGCTCTTTGGAAGGTTGCCTTGCCTGCCCATTGGTTGGAACAACAAGCGTTGTTGTTTTTCAAGACAAGAGGTAACGGGGAGGGAAAATGCACCATGCGCTGCTTTTTATCTCAGTGACTTCTCCAGCTGCCTTCTGCCATCTCCTCTGGCATGTCAGTGCTCTTTCACATCCTCAGCCTCTCATCCACTCGCTTCTCCTCTCTTGCTCCTTGCCATCCTTCCTCCCCTCTCTCCAGCACTCAAGGAGGCAACAGCAACTGAAGGATCATGGCAAGCACACAAGGAGTTGTGAGTGGATCAAACCATGCCACTTTCATGCTTTTCATGCCTTTGGTTGTGGCGTTTTGTCTTGTCTACCAGCTTTCCATGGTGCCCATGTGTCCTTGCTGGTGTGTTGCTGTTCGTGCCACTCTCGGTTCAGCTCTCAATCCCCTCGTCTCCTGCCCTCTCTTCTTTTCTGCTCTCCTCTCTTCCATCACCAGAAGGATACCAGCAGTATGGGCAGCAGCGGTGGCAGCAGTGGTGGCAGCAGCGGTGGCAGCAGCAGTAGCAGTGGCACCGGTGCTTGCAGCATCAATGGCCACTGCAGTGGTTGCGGCTGCAGCACTAGAGGGGTGATTAATCTTACCCCTACGAGTTCCCTGCAAGTGTCAGTTGTTTAATTCCTTGCGTTGCTGTATAGGCTTTGCTGACTTACTCGTCTCAATTCAACCTTCTCCTCGTTGCCCGTCCTCCTCCTTATGTCATGTTCCATCTCCTTTAATATGGTGCCCTCGTGCCTCCCGCCCCTCTCCATGTCCCGTTGCTCGCTATTGCAACAGCTGCAGGGAAAGCAGTGGCAGCAACAGCAGTGCTGCGTATTCTGTATGGTAGGTGATGGGAGATTCTGCAAGGGGGTTGCTGACCGTGCTAACGTACATTTCACACTTCCGTGGTGCTCTGTGCTTTTGCATCTCGTAAGTGCCTCCCTCTTCTCTTTCCTCCGCTTTCTCCCACCTCCAATTCGATGTCCCGTTGCCTCTTCTGTGATGCTGTGCAGGCAAGAGCGCCAAGAGCATGTGGGTGTCGTGTCGCATGGCGGTGGGTGGAGTGGCAAGAGCTCAACATGTGCCGCTTCTATGCTTAACCCTGCTTAGCTGTCCTTGGCTGTGCATACAGGTGCTTAGGCGTGCTTGTCTTTGCATAGGTGTGTTGTGTTGTGCTGTGCTGGGATGGGTCTGCATGTTGTAGAATGGGTGGGTGGGGTGGGCAGCCTGGAATGAGAGAGAGAGAGAGAGAGAGAGAGAGAGAGAGAGAGAGAGAGAGAGAGAGAGAGAGAGAGAGAGAGAGAGAGAGAGAGAGAGAGAGAGAGAGAGAGAGAGAGAGAGAGAGAGAGAGAGAGAGAGAGAGAGAGGAGGGAGGGAGGGAGGGAGGGAGGGAGGGAGGGAGGGAGGGAGGGAGGGAGGGAGGGAGGGAGGGAGGGAGGGAGGGAGGGAGGGAGGGAGGGAGGAGACGGACGAAAATAAGGGTGACATGTGCCCCAGGCATAGACTGACAAAACGTAGGGGCATCTCACGTTTTTACACAAACTGCGGCAGGGCAATGGCCAGAGCATGCCAACAGCAGAATAGAAACACCCCAAACCAATCCACAAAGCTCCTGCTGTGACCAGAGCAGTAGGTAACTGCAGATACCGTATATCAAATAAGCTATTGGATACAGCAAGAGCATTGCAGCAGCTACCCAATTTGTCAAATGCAGTAGTGCCACATCCTCGTTGCCTGCTTGTAGACATGACTGAATAGCCCCCCAGCCAAGCAGGCTTTCTGCTCAGGATTTGATATGTTATCGTCAGACTCTCATCAGAGTACTTAACGTAATTTAAACATTACAATTATAAATAGGCGGATTTTGCAGCATATGATTGTCACGAATAATCTAGCAATTCTGCTGCCGTTTACTAGGTAGTCAAATGTGAAATGAACCCCTGCTAACAGAGGAGAGATAACAAGAGGGAATGATGTCAAAGTACTACAGAAACTCAACAGGTTGATTCGGCGGACAACACGCACTTAGGGCGTGTCCCATGAGTTCGTTTTGGGGAAAATCCTTTTTTTTTTTTTACGTAAACTGCGAGTCAGCAAAGGAGTGTACAAACGGAATGTGTCAGCACCGAGCAAAACGGATTTGCACCAGGCGGACGCATAGTTCCGCCCACACAAAATTCGTCAAGCGATTAACAATTGACAGAATCTGCGGAGATAACTAGTTCAACGGGAGCTAGACTACGGGCTAGGCACGGGGCAA